TCCTCGTGTTTTCTTTGGATAGCCTACAAAATAACATTTTCTCACTTTTCGATTCCAATTTATCAGTTAAAAGTTTCTTCACGTATGCTAGATAAACCCCAGGTTCACATATGTTGAAGACAAGGCCTCTTGCCATGCCATGATTCATATGACGTCTTTATAACTTATTTCAATGGAAATCTGTTCAAAATGTAAATCGAGTTCAATAAGGCATAACCTCAATGATATGTGGAAGAGTGGTGAAACTTAACATGGATCTAACCATATCCAATAAGGTTCGATTGCTCCTTTCGAAGACTCCATCAAATGAGTCCTTTGATGAAATTGATAAAGCACCTGAGAGAAATCAAACTCTTAAGTAAGGCAAAAGTTGTTGCCTTTGATGAAATTGATAAAGCACCTGAGAGAAATCAAACTCTTTCTTTTTCTAGATTATTATAGGAATGGGATCAGCTACCGCCTACCAACAATCTAAAAGTTTAGACGATGAAAAAGATGATATATTAATTAGTAAATACACATTTCAAGAAACCAGAGCGTTAATTTTGGGAATTGGATACCAGAACAAGTCGATGGTGCATTAAGTGATTAAACCCACTTAAAGATCCGAACTTTTCTACAAAATAATCGGACCCTTTTAATCTGCCAAAGCAAAATGCATCAAGCATTATCAGAGGAAAATTCCCAAACACAAAGAAACAAAGAAGAAGATGAGAACAATAAAACAAAAAATACATGTTGAAGTAAAACTGAGGCAAGAACTCAGGAAAACCAGCAAAACGGTTGAAGTTGTGATTCTCGACAAATAAAGCAGATTTCCATGTCGCTCTATAACAGAATTTCTTGATCGGTGTGTGTAAGTCATTTAACGCGTAACCACTAAGGTTTTTGAAAAATGATATCTTGACTTCGCCAATCTTTCTAGCTATTGGCACCAATTATTCCAAATCTGAAATGGGTTGTTACGTGGCTAGCTTTTTAGAAAAGAAGAAGTTGTTACGTGGCTAGCTTTTTAGAAAAGAAGAAACAAGAGAAAGGGGACTAACACCGAATCAATATTTGGGTATTTATGGTGAAGACAACTATGAGACATGCAAAGGAAAAAAAAAGTTAAGGAGAAGGAAAATGACGAAAAAATGAGGGACATTTTTAAATTTCAATGGCATTCATTCAGTTTGACCGAGTTGTTTGAGGTCATTTGGACTTGACGATGGCGACTGTTGAGGTTAAAAATCGAATCCTTGGGCCATTTGTAAGTGAAATGGACGAATCACGAACCTCTATTGTCCATCTTTAATGTCTCTATTGTCCATCTTTAATGTGAAATGTGACAGTGTAATATGTGAAATGTGATGCTTCCCAATAAACAACAATAAAATTGGATATCGAGTTTGCTATACCATCAAAATAATGTTTTAGGAGTGTATTTAAAAGCCTCACACTTTAAATTAGATAGACAATAAATAAAGAAATAAAATTAAAAAAAATATATATTAAAAATTATGAAATGGCCAAAATAGACTGCAACAGTGGAATTTAAGCCGGTAATCATCTAATGAACAATATATCCAAGCAAAACTGAATGTTGATCACATGTCCTTCGCGCCTATAAGCAAGCACCCAATCTATATATATATAAAAAGGTTGTTGTTAAAATACCTTTTTAGAAACTTTTGACCAAAAAAAAAACTTTGACAATCTAAATATAGAAACCATATTTACTGCATTTATAAAAATTTTAAAAAAGTCATATTTCAATTCAAAAATTTGTTTATTAGAGATATTATTGGGATTGTGGATAAGTCACAATTGGATCCATAATTATCATTACATGATTAATTCAAAAATTAATTGGTTAGAGATATTATAGGGATATGTGGATAAGCCACAATTGGATCCATAATTATCATTACATAATTATGCGAATATTGAGTTAAAAAAACCGAGATAAATTGTACAGAGAAAAAAAGAGATAAATTTCAGAACACATTGATAATAAATGCCGCCAGACTAGGATACACTCGATTCCGTGAGTAGGAGAAACAAACCTTTTTTGCACTTGAAAGCAGTCCTAATAGTTGAAACGTATCACCAACGGGAGAGCTAGAACGCATTCCATATACTGTTTCATGATGAACAGGTAAATATTTTTATTTGTACAAATTTATGTAATTTTAAAAAATATTTTAATTCATATTTATAAATTTATATTGTAGGGTACATTCATTAAAGGGATAATACGTTCCAAACATATGGGAGCATTTCAAGGTGTACTGAACGAAGGCGAGGTGTATGCGATCAACAACTATGTCATTGAATTTAATCATGGGAAGAAGGATATCATAACCAACATATGGAAACTTGTGCTTCATGGAAGAACTCATGTTACCAAATATGGTGGGATTTTCCTTCAAAATGTTGATATTTCCCTCAACATTAGCAAGGAGTAGGAGATATTTATGATATTTAGAGTTTGATTATTATGAATTTTAATTTCATTCCATGTTGTTGAATTCCGAATTCTATAATAAATTTTAGTGTTATTATATTTGTTATCCTTATAAAAGGTCGTTGGATATTTCTTTTTTTATTAAATGTCGCATGAATGTGAAAATTTCCCGTGTCATTTTATTTTTGACTTCTACTGTATATTAGTTTTAATTTTGTAGAATGTCATGATATAAGATATAAATTAATAAAAATTTTAACAAATATTTCAAATATAAGATTATATAAAAAAAATTTACGGAATTAACACAACTGAATCAAGTACATTTAATGTATTATATTGCCTGATTTTTCAATAATTTATCATAATGGATTATATTCATAAATATGAATATGAATTTTGATTATAATATTTATATTAATTTGTGTTACATATAAATTATTATTATTAAAATTTTGACGTAAAAAGATGGAAATATTTGTTTGACGTAATAGATTATAATATTTGTTTGACGTAAAATTTTGACGTGAAAAATTTTTCAACAATTTTTTTTTTGTATCACATTGGTATGGACCGAAAATTTAATAGAAAGATGGTAATTATGTAACGATGCTATCACACAAAAATCTCCACTTCTTAACTACTTTGCACTTATCTTATCATCATACATGATAAGGTTGAAAATTAATATACAATATTTAAAATTGGTTTAGGTTTTTATTGACCGAGTATCACTCTTTGAATTCCATTTGAATTCAAAATTGCTGTATTTTTTATTTAAACAAAAAAATTTACGGAATTAACAATAACTAAATCAAGTACATTTAATAGATTATATTGCGTGATTTTTCAATAATTTATCATAATGGATTATATTCATAAATATGGATTTTCATTATAACATTTATTTTAATTTGTGTTATATATATATTATTATTAAAATCTAAGATCTGTTTGAATTAAAATTTTGACGTACAAAATTTTTGACGTAAAAGATTATATTATTTGTTTGACGTAAAAAAATTTTCAAGAATTTTTTTTTGTATCACGTTGGTATGGACCAAATTTTAATGGAAAGATTGATGGTGATGGTAATTATGTTATGATGCTATCACACAAAAATTTCCACTTCTTAACTACTTTCCACTTATCTTATCATCATAAAAATTTCGGTCCATACCAACGTGATAATCATTTGTGTTTAGATTGACAGAAATATATTCCATTTGAATTCAATGTCATTCATTTAAAAAACATAACAAATAGCGAGTCCTACGGTGGATAAATCACGTTTTACTAATCTTATCATGATATTAGAGTTTGAATTTATTGGAACTCTGAAATTAAAATCACGTGCAAAGAATCTTATCAAGAGAGATTAACGTGAGTCCAACTAATTTTATCATCTAATAGTTATCTACTTCCATCCCATGGCTATAAAATAAACGTCGGAGCCTATATCACGTATCAGAAAAACCTCACACTACAATTTCACATACAAATAGAAAAATGGCGAGAGCATAGGGAAACATCAAGCAAGTAACAAGGACCAACAGTCCAATGCTCAAGTTGAGGGTGGTTCGAGTTTTTCAAAGGACTAATCAATACTCATCCTACAAGAACATCCTTGAAATTGTCTTTCATGACATTGAGGTTTAATTCATAATAAAAAATAATGATTATCCATTTTTCTCATCATGTTAATTATAATATCTAATATCTAATATTATTTTTCTTTTCTTTTCAGGGAGGTCGAATTACTAGAATAGCAAGTGTAATCAACATCCCAACTTTCATCAATGAATTCGAAGAAGGTGTTGTCTATGCATTTCGAAACTATCAAGTCGAGAGTAATATCGGAATGTATAGATCCACTATTGCACAATACAGGCTTATACTACATGGTAGAACCGAACACATAAGCTACAAGGGTGACTTTTCAATTTTTCGTTTTGACTTTCGAAGGTTCAACACATTGATTGATATCGAGAAAATCGACGAATCAATGCTATTTGGTAACTGCATTTTTACTTATTTAATTTTTTGTATAAGCCTGAGTTTTTTAATAGTATCAAGTGTTCCGAAATACCGAACCATGAGTTGTATTTGAAGATTGGAACTCCAGTCATGTTGTTGCGGAACATGGATCATTCTATGGGTTTGTGTAATGGGACACGATTGGTAGTGACAAAGCTATCGACTCACGTTCTTGAGTGTAAGATACTCACAGGAGATCATGCTGGTGATAAGGTGTTGATTCCAAGAATGGCAATAACTTCTTCTAATGTTAAAATTCCTTTCAAGTTCCAGCGGCGACAGTTTCCTGTTATGGTTTCTTACGCCATGACTATAAACAAGAGCCAGGGACAATCCCTATCTCATAGTGGCTTATTTCTTAAGAAACCAGTGTTTAGTCATGGTCAGTTATATATTGTTGTTTCCCGTGTCACTAACCGAAAAGGTTTGAAATCTTAATTTGTGGCGAAGATGACGTGCCAAAGAATCAAACCAATAATTTGTATATAGGGAAGTGTTCAATAATATAAGATTTTTTTTCAATTTAATGATATGTTTATATGTCTATTATTATGATCATGATCATTGCCTGCATAACACAATTTATATAGAAAATTGTTTTTTAAAAACATTATAGATAATAATATCCCCGTGCATCGCACGGGTGACTACTAGTTTAAAATTAATAATCCAAGCTAAAACATGATCCAGCAAAATTCTTAGTTTTTTCGAGATGACATAATCTTGATATCAGATACAAATTATATGGAAACTGCGTTTAATGCAAAACTCTCACTGCAAAATGATGACCCGGGCCAGCAAGTGGAGACCATCTTCCATAACTAGACGAGCTTTCGCTTGCTAAAAAGATAAAGAACGCTAAATTTAATACCTAACAAATTGTCGAACATCGCCTTCAGCTTTCCTCCCATACGGATTGCTATCACTAAAACCATGTCGAGTTCCTTCAACTCGTCGAGCTTTTTTCCTGAACTTGGACGCATTGCTATCGATGTTTAAGTTTACTTTTGGAGGCGAAGTAAAGCAAAATGAAGCAGCAACAGCCTGCCAGAAAGGAATGGCATAATAAGACGTTAGAAAAATGATAAAATATACAAAAAAATAAAAAAATGATATTCAAGTATTGAGACTGCCAGTACCTGTAGATCAAGTCGATGCACATTAAAGATGTCTTTCATAGAATGTGAATTATATGCTAGAATATATGATCTGTACGCATCTTTAGCCGACTTGTTCAAGTAATAGTTGTTCGAGACCAACTTCTCCTGCATCAAATGCATATTCATAAATCACTTCAATATTGGAGAAAGTAATAACAGAAGAAATGGGGATGAAAATTTAATTAAGAAAGCACAAAGCTAAAAGGCCATGAGAGTGAGATGTTACCAAGTGAGATTGCACGTTCGATAGCTTCTTCTGATCAAACTCATACTCCTTGACGGGGACCTTTGCAGCCTGAAAATTCAGTGATCATGCGTTCAGTTGGTGTTAGAAGGAAGACTAAAAGCATCTATCAAACAAAATTTTGCTTTTGCTCCAGCACAATTACCATAAATCATACAATATCTTCTAGATATGGAGAATATCTAAAACACTGTGTCTTTAACTAATACAGTAAAAAAAATAAAATAAAAAATTGAACATATAATATTGGAACTATTACTTAAAAATGCAAACTATAGTGAACAGCCTAATAGCCGCATCAGAAAAACCAGAAAAGAATTAAAGCGGAAGGTAGAAAATAGAAGTCCTTTCTCGTGTAACCAAAAGAAAAATCCAAGACAAACCAAATTTCACATATACCTTAAGGTAACGAAGAAACTGTAACTCTTCTGGAATCAAGAAAAGCAGAGCATTCCCTTTCGCACCTTCCCCACGAGCTGTACGTCCAACTCTATGAATGTATTCCTAATTGTATGATATATAACCAAAAGTGAGACAGACTCGAGAAATTAATAAATTATAAGATACCTAGAAAACAACTTTATCCAGAAAGTCTGCTAATCACCTTGGGCTCATCAGGAGGATCATACTGCACAATCCAATCCTAGGAAGAGATCAGGGAAATATCAATCAGTGTTAAGTGTTATATGAGACACAAATATAAACTAATCCCAAATCTTTCAATCTCTTGTATAGCATACCACAGAAGGAATATCAAGGCCACGTGCTGCTACATCAGTACATAATAAGATGCCCTTCTCTGCTTTGCAGAAATCGAAGAAGGTTGTGGTTCGTTTCTGCTGCTTTTGCTTGCCATGAATATCAAGACAATCGATCTGAATGTATCTGAGAAGCTCTGAATGAAATTTTACAGAATTGCAAGAGGAGAAGAAAACCATCACTTTCTTTGACAAGTTCCTTTTCAAGAAAGAATAGAGAAGAATAAATCTCTTGGCACTAGGGACAACACAGTAGCCTTGCTGCAGTCCTTCATTGGTGACCTAACCGTTAGAAATAAGTATCAATAACGAGTTCTGAATATTATTGCATCAACTAGAAGAAAGACAGCTTTTTCCTACCCTCCTCCTTCCATCATCAACATCTACATAGACAGGAGTTGTCTGAAATGATAGGCGTGCAAGATCTTCAACCTGAAAATATAAAAAGCAAAAAGTTATTCTGAGTTCATCAAGACGGAAATAATCGTTGTTTTTCCAGCTTCATAGGTTAAAAGATCATTGTTTGCACGATTTAAATATCACAAAGTACTGGAGAAATATTTTCCGAAATAATAATTTCATTTCATCATAAGTACTGCATTTTTATTTTATTCTATTAATTTCTTAGTATTCTTACCTTTGCTCAGGAAACAACTTGTAGAATGATATCATAAAGTACAAGTACCTTCTTTGTTTGTGTGGCAGAGAAGAGAGCTGTTTGCCTCACCTGCAACATAGATAGAAGCATATCAGATAATTATGTGAGTACAATGCATATCTACATTGTTCTAACAATGAGATGATTGTGTTTCTCAATATGGCAACTATATTATGTCCATAACCTATTGTTCGAATGGTATCAAAACAGAATATGAACCAAAATAGATAGGGTTAAATAAGTAAATGTTTTCAAGAAAGCAGCTCTTATGATATATAAATATCACCAAAAAATACTTTTTTAGATATATAAACAAACCGCTGATCTTAGCTCTGGCTATTAGTACCTTAGGCAAAATTTTAATGATTTGCTTCATTTCCTCCTCAAAGTTGGCTTCCAAAATTCGATCAGCTTCATCAATCATAAGGCACTGCACAATCCAAAACATGAAAATAATAGTTACGTCAAGAGTCATTGTAAATAAATAGTTTCTACAAAGAGGATGAGAATGTCTTGGTGAAGCTTTAGCATAAAAAGTCAAACATGTGAATGCAAATGACTAATCTGAAGCAAGAATGACACCAGGATATGTCTGTATGCATATAACAGTTTCCATGTGCGTTATTTATTCTATGAAGTAGTGCATGCATTGACTTCACAGGCAAAATGCCACGAAATGCAACATTAGGACTTAATTAGAAGGAGTTTACGAGCAAAGGATGAATATCTGTTCTTTCTTTAAGGAAGTAAACAAAATAGAGACAATAAATTAAAGGCTTATGAAGGCATCTATAACCTATTCAAACTACCCACCAACATAGGTAAGATGTCAGGCTAGGACAGATGGAATAACTAGATTTAAAAGGCATATTCCTCACATCGATCAATTCAAGGATTTGCAAAAGGATATGATGTTTTGTTTCATCTATTAGATAATTTCAATACTATTTTGTCCTTGTGGACCATGTCTTCTTAAAAAATAAAAAAGGAACTAAGGATAAAACATTACTAAATCAGATGTTTTGGGACTACCCTCATTCTGTTCCCCATCTCATCACCCCTCCCATTAACAGCCATATACCTTGAGCAGAACCAACGACTCGGGCATATGCACAAGTGAACTCCAACTTTCAGGATAGTATTAAGACAAACTAGTTCAGTAGATAAAATTCTATAGACAATAATTACTTCAGATAGTCTAATCCAACTTAAAAAATCTAATACAGAAGGAGAAAGATTACGCTAGGTCATGATGGTAAATAACAATCAAAAAGCACCTCAAAACACAAAACCATACCTTTAAGTTCTTATATATAAAGCCTTTGGTGTTCTGAAGATGGTCAAGAAGTCTACCAGGGGTTGCTACCAAAAGATTTACCCCTCTGGCTATTCGCTCTGCTTCTCCTCTTCTAGCTGAACCACCAATAACCAGTCCAAGTGTTTGAGAATGATATTTAAGAAGGTCCTTCGCTACAGCATGTGTCTGTAACATAAGATTAGTCTCGTGAAGCAAGCATCAAAACCAATGGCTAAAGTATCTCTCAAATTAAATGATGCCAACATTAATTTTCAAGTGGTGACTTTTAGAGTAGAGCAATTGAAAAACTTGTTGTATAGCCAGCCGCCAAAAAATACACACCAGGATAGTTTAAGGCGTCATCGATACAAATTGCTACAAGAGATGACAAGATTAAGCAATCAATCGAACTAAAAAGTGGGTTAGCATGCATCATAGATAATAGATCTAAGTTCATTGTGATTTGTGAAATAAAATGCTTTCCGCAGTATTTTAAAATCCAACTTGTGAAATAGAACACAAATTCTATGAACTAAGTGTACAAAGCATAACCCTCAGGACAAAAATATCTCCAATACATTCATCCTAGCATGCATAATAGTAAAGCCTGTCCTTGTACACCTGCTTGCAAAATTTCTTTTCCACATAATTCTCATATACTGGTACACTGCTATAAATGACGTAAAGGATATAAAAGTAAAAGAATAGTGAATACAGCCAGCTGTTGAAGTGAGAGCTTGTGATTCAGTGGAGTAACTACACTAAACAATTAAAATTGAGTATCACAGCATATCAAAAGCACGTCACTACCAAAATTGTTTAGTTTTATACCTGTATGGCCAGCTCCCTTGTCGGGCAAATAACAATAACACCAGTCCCATTTCGAGGAGTAAAACGGATGTTGTACAACAACTCGACAGCTGGTACCAGAAAAGCAAGGGTTTTCCCCGACCCTGTCCTTGCAGCTCCAAGAACATCCTTGCCTTCAAGTAGTGGTGGTATCCCTCTAGCTTGGATCTTTGCAACATATCAGAAGTAAACACAAGTCTATAACTAAATAAACAGACAATATATCACTATTCAACAGTTCAATTGTGTAATTTCCACTTCCCAATACAATCTTTAGTAGCTATAACTAGTAAAAGGTGAACCCAACAGTTCAATTGTGCAATTATCACTTCCCAATACAATCTTTAGTAGCTATAACTTGTGAGCATAAAAAATGGGACCCAATAGTTCAAACTGTATGATTTCTAATCCCCAATAATATCTTTAGTAGCTATACTTATAAGTAGAAGAATCTGGACCTAGAATCTGTCATAGCTTGCTTCAGGACAATGATATAAAGTATTTACCTGAGTCATATACTGAAACCCCAAGTCTTTGATGGCATTCATGGTGGGCTCAGAGATGGGCAGCGCAGAAAATGCTTCAGAGCTCATAATCCCATGCGAACCACTTGCCTTAGCCTCTTTCTTCAAACCTACCTCCTCCAAATCTTTTTCTTCCATCTTCAATTTATTCTTCTTCTTCTCCATTTCAGCTCCTTTCTCGTCAGTCTCTTCTTCTTCTTCTTCTTCTTCGTCTTCTTCTTCTTCTTCCTCCTCCTCCTCATCATCATCATCATCATCTTCTTCTTCTTCTCCTACTTGTTCTTCATCTTCCTCCTCCTCCTCTTCTTCTTCTTCAACTTCCTCCTCATCCTTTCTATTTACCTCGTCTTCTTCGCGTTCTTCATCGTCTTCCTCGCGATTTTCCTCTTCTTCAACTTGTGGGGCTTTTACAGTGTTCTTTTTGTTGTTTCTGTTTCTCTTGCGCTTCTTCCTTGTGTGGTCGGTGGCTCTGTTCAGAAGATGTGATCGCTCCTCTTCAGTGACGTCCATTGCGGCGGCGGCGGGTAGATAGCTGTGGTATAGAGAGGTTTTCCGAATTTCCTTTTTCCTATTTAGGCCGTCTCTACTCTTGTTATTTATACTGATGATGAGATGGTGTTGCCCCAAGTTCGGTGCTGTTTGGACCTAATTCTACTTCTTTGATTTATTTATTTATTTCTCGTTTTTCTTCTCAATGAGATCATTATTAACTTTTAAAAAATAATGTAGAAATTCAATTTTTGGTAGAAATAGTGATATCAAGCAACAAAAACATTCTAATAAAAACCAGCAACCTTTGCTTTAAGTGGATGTTTGGTGTTGTAGCAAATTGTGTTTTATTATTGAGTACGGAATAAATCCGATATTTGGTCGATCTTTCGAGAAAGACGGTTCATAATCTAAAATTGGTGTTGATCACGCACGAAAAGAAAATAATTCATGAACACTTTAATTACGATTGATTTGGTGAATTAATTGAAACTAACTAGAACTATAAAAGTAAATAAATCACGACTAAAGAAAAAGAAGAAGTTCTAGGGGTCGAGAAATGTCATCAAGTCCTAAACTATGTTGAACGCTTATTTATTCAGTTACGTGATTCAAACAAGCCTAAATGTCTAGATGTTTATGATCAATAACTTTTCGTAACAATAGCACACACATAAACGAAAAACTCATTCAATCAACTAACACATAGACAATACTTTTACGAACAAGTCTACTCTACACGAGCCTTGGTCAAACAACCCCTCAATTCTCGATTCTAAAAGTTGCTTAATTCGATTAGAAGAATACATTCACCTCATACGAGCCTAGGTTCAATGACTGCTCCTCCCACGGTTCTAACAGTTGTTTGCCTAGCAGGTGAACGATCAACTAACCCTAACAATCAAGCAACTCGCATAGATTGAACAAACGACATTCAACACAATTCAGAACAAGAATCAAAATTCCTACCACTAGGTGAACGAATTACCAAATTCTTAGATTCAATTCCATGTTAATCAGATTGAAGAACATAAATCCAATCAACAATAATGAAATATAATTGAAAACTTACAAGAGTTCGATCTCAATATCTTTGTTCCAACAATCCAATCATGGGAGAAAAAAGAAAAACGGATAAATAAAGAAACTATTTACAAATTGAATCTTGGAGTGTCACCCTCCACAAGATCGAATTCAAGCCAACATAAGAGAAGAAGATTTTGAAAAGAGAGTAAAAAATGTTCCCGAGTGAAAAGTACCGAAAAAACGAGTTCTGGAAGTTTTTTAGCCCCTGGGCAGGAGTCCCCATAAAATAGGATTCAAAATCGAGCCAAAATTCCGTCCACGTGCGTTTTTGAACTCCCAGCCTCATGGGCACGCGAGGCTTGGGCATGCTGCCATGCGCGGCGTGAGGCCTGGAGCGCTCGGGCATCTTGCGACATAGGTCACGCGCGTGAAACTCGCGCGACACTCGCGTTGCATCGTGGGGCGACGGGTCTTGTGGCACGAGGTTTGAGTGATGGCATGCGGGCATTCGCGGGTTTGCTACGGGGTCGACTCGGGGCTGCACGGTTCTGCACAACGCGTGCTACGGGAGGCCTGGGTTGAGTTGGGCGAGGCCTGGGATGAGTTGGGCGAGGGCTGGACGCACGAGTGCAGGATGCTAATGCGACTGTGCGCCTCCAGCTCGTACAAGCTCATCCAGACTCAGAATTGAATTCCGTTTTTTCCTACTCATCCCCGACAAAACCTTCTAGAGAAATACACTCGCACGACCGAGATGACCATTTTCTTCTTAGATTGTGATGGGTCTACTCTCAGATCTAGAGTGAACCAGTGATAATGAGCTCAGATCTGCTTGAATCGCCTTCGAACCGTTGCTAAACCTCAACAACACCTGCAAGAACTCAACGCCGGAAGTGTTTCCGGCGTAGAGCCTCCGACGCTCAAGTCAGTATGTGAAAGAAATGAAGAGGAGCTGCTTTGAGAGAGTAGCAGCAACTTATAAGGGAGAGTGTGAATGAATGGAAGTTAGGGTTTAGGGTTACCTCACGTCCTGTATATAGGAGGAAACACTTACTTGAAGTACCCAAAATGTCCCGGTCGATTCACCTGAAAGGTCTAGATTGCCCCGGTTGATTCGTCTCCCCTCATTGCTGAGTCATGACAAGATTCCTTCTTATCCATTGAAGGGCAAGAGACTCCAAGAGATATCACAAGTGTATTGAGTCGTCAGTGTGTTTCATGCCTCGAGGTGCGAGGAGTCGACTTCGAGTACTAGGAGGTCGACTTAGGATCATCTGATTATTCGGAGGCTACGCTCTTGTTGGTCTTCTTAAATAGAAGTTGACTACTGGGAGTCGACTGCGTGAGGTCGACTTCTAGAAGTCGACTCCTAGAAGTCGACTTGCATGGATTCCGCATATCCTCGTGGTCATTCTATGGAGAGTTGACATTTCGGAGGTCGACTTGGGCATGTCGACTGAACATGTCGTCGTGCGGGCGATCTGAGCGGTCGTCCGGTCGAGTAGGGGGTTCTTAGACCGGTATATCACAATATGGCTATATTAGATTGGTTGAAATTCTAATACTCGGTCGATGCTCTGAACCTGCACACCTCCAATGACAATAAAAATACTCGAATACGGGGAAAATAAAAGAAAAACATTTAATCAACCAAATTAAACTAAAATTGCCCCGGGTCGACCGGGTCAAGGCTGGGCTGGCCGGGTTTGACCGGGTCCTTTGTTGCCCTGTCCGAATAGCTCACCCGACCGGTTCCGACTCCGGGTCGACCGGGTCCCAAGTTGACCCGCCGAATCGGTCCGGGTTGAAAAACACTGTTTTAAATACTTTCTAAAATTTGCATTATTATTTATATTTAAAACAAGACCTTTCACTTTGTTCGTTTTATATAATAATTAATTATTCTAATTCATATGTATTGAATTTAGAAGATAATTTTTTATTTGATAAATGATATGTAATTTTATTAAAATTTTAATAGTATTATACATGATATAATATAAAAGAAAATTAAAATTATTATTTATTTTATATATACAATATGAATACTAAATTGAAACTAATTAAAATACATAATTTATTTAAGTGTTTTATAATTTTATATAATTATTCGAGTATTTTACAATTTTAAAAGAACTAATAAATTTTACAATTTTAAATGAAATATATCCCCTTTATATATTACTTCAAAACGTGCTGAGCCTAAGTGACAAACTCGCACGCATTGAATTCCTACATGTCATAAATAGTTTTTCCACCATACATTATTGTCTCACATCAATCTTTCTTTCATTACCAAATTTGTCTTCAACGTAAAGATCACATAAATCTTTATTTCTTTATTTCATTTTACTAAGGATTTATTCCATTCATCATATTTTTTTATTTTTTCAAATTGATAACTTTTAGCCCATTTTTGAGTCTATGTATTTGTTTGCGTAATGAATAATGATGAACTAAAATTACATATTATAATTTTATTGATTTCATGAAATCTTAACTAAACACATCTCTTATCTCAATTCTCATCAATTTTATCCCTTATCTTATTTTTTCAAGTTGATAAATTAGCCCACTCATCCTATTTTTTTTTTTTTTTTTAATTTTTCCAAGTTGATAAATTTTAAGTATAACTAATATTGTTGTGTACAAAATTTATTTTGAGAATTTAAAATAAAATACCAATATATAGTAGTTTTTGTTTTATAAAACTTACATTTATTTATTTTCTATATATTTACAACAATTAAACTCTTTTAATTTTTTTTTATTCAAATTATTTTTTTATTCACCCGTGCTAGAAAATAGAAAGCATTAGTTAAAATTGCATTCTGGCCCTACACGTGGTTGGATATGTTTCCAACGGCAGAGGTGTGTATTAATACTGTAGTACCTGTCACACGGTATCGCTCCCTCGAAAGAGCAAAATTCTAGTGCTCCTCGGGCACAATATGATTTTCCATCAAAAATAAAACAAAAAATCCTAAACCCTAGATTATTATTTTTTATTAAATAAATCACATCCGTCGCCGGGAAGTTCATCGGAACCGCTTAATCTCAGGTGAGTTTTCTCTCAGTCTCGATTAATCGATATCCAGTTTGATCGTTCTAGGGTTTTCTTCTTCAAGTCTGAAATATTTGATCCTCTCACAGAAGTGTCAGTTTTAATTTTGTTTGTCTCAATATCCGATTCTAGAATTGAAGTATCTGAGGATGTGGAATTTCGATAATATTCATATCCTGTTTCATTCGTAGGTTGCTTTAATCAAACAGCCGCATTAGAAGCGACCAAATGGTAAGCCTGTTTGCTCAATTAAATCCCTTCACCCCATTTTCTGGTTTGTGCGTGTTTTAGCGTTGAAGTTCGTCTGTAGAATTCGAAATTCGATAATGTTGTTTCTACTAGCATACTACTGTTACGTGTGATGTCTTCACTTGAATACCGATCGAAAGTTCGAAACACATTACATTACTTGCATTCACTCTATAGGACAAAGGGGTTTTTTGGATGCCGAAAAGCAGTGTACATGCGAGTGGTGTAGATGCGGTTCTTGATAATAGCCCGTCTAAGATGGAACCTAAACGAGCCCGTCACTGGTTCTTAGACCCTTCTGAAGCCGATTTTTTTCCTAGCAAAAAGCAGGCCCTCCAATCTTCAAACGCGAAGCCTGAGCCCGATATCATGATCCCTGTATCTCTTCCTTGGGAAAGCAGCTCCGGGTTCTCTCCCGGGCCCACCACCCAATTCATGGACCGGCTTTTTGGATCCGAGACAATCGATAGCAGCAGTATGCAACCAGATGGCTCGAACATAAGGACAAAAGCTGAGGGTGAACATTTTGATAACGATGTTGATGGTTTATCGATGTCTTATCCCTTGGTGGACCCCACGTTGACCTACGGCAGCCTTAGAAAGGTCAAAGTCAGTCAAGTGAACGATGATGCATCTCTTGACCAGGGTTATCACGAGACGAGCGAGAGCACGTTCGACGCTTATTGTAAGGAAAGTGAGAATATGGCGTTGATGGGTGGCCTTTCCTATGAAATTGGGGGGGAAGAAGAAGCGAATGTCAGGTCAGTGGGGCCCACCTTCGGCTATCAAGACGAGTCTGCGATCGAAGCTCTGGCCAAGCCTGTTGTTGGTAGCTATAGCTTGTTGTACGAACAACAATCTTCTTCTGCTGCTCAGACATTGGAAGTAGTGCCCAGCAAAAAGGAAGTAGTGGATGTGCCGAATTTCGATGCTTCTTTGAGCATTTCTCGTGCGCATAAATCCAAAATCGAGTCTAAGAATAAATCGGAAACAAAATCGGCCAGGAAAGAAGCACCAAACAGTTTCCCGTCTAACGTTAGGAGCTTGATAGCTACAGGTATTCTGGATGGGGTTCCGATTAAATATGTTTCTGTGTCACGGGAGGTAAGTATTTTGATTATTTATTCATTTATGTATAGCTTTTGGTTCTTTGACAATTTACATAGTGTGTCTTTGTGCTTTATAAGGAGCTTCGAGGGATTATCAAAGGTTCGGGTTACCTCTGTGGGTGTGAGTCTTGTAATTACTCTAAGGTAAGACTCCATGTTACATCATTTCATTGGAGGAAAAAA